TCTCAGGGCTGTACAAATGCAGAGTTGAGACTTGCATGACCCTTGACCCTGAGCGTCTCCTTCAATGTTGTGCCCTAAGTGCCTTATTCCCCGCACCCTTGTCCTGGACCTGCTTGCGACAATCCTGTGAGGTCAAGATCACCAACTCCCTTCTCTGCAGGTGGGAAACAGAGTCTTATGGAGGTTGAGTATCTTGCTTCACTTCCACTTGAGCTAGTAAGTGGTGGAGTTAGGATTTGAACCTGAATTCTTTTTTTTTTTTTTAATATTTATTTTATTGATTTTTTACAGAGAGGAAGGGAGAAGGATAGTTAGAAACATCGATGAGAGAGAAACATCGATCAGCTGCCTCTTGCACACCCCCCACCGGGGATGTGCCCGCAACCAAGGTACATGCCTTCTCTGCAGGTGGGAAACAGAGGTTGAGTATCTTGCGTTCACTTTCACTTGAGCTAGTAAGTGGTGGAGTTAGGATTTGAACCTGAATTCTTGCGGGGAGGTGGACACCAAAGCCTGGGCCTTGACTGGCTGCACCTGCATCAATGCCTCCTCTGAAGTTTCGCTTGTTGTCTTCCTTTGCAGGTATCCAAGGCAGCTGCAGACTTGATGGCTTACTGTGAAGCTCATGCCAAGGAAGACCCCCTCCTGACTCCTGTTCCGGCTTCAGAGAACCCATTCAGGGAGAAGAAGTTTTTCTGCGCCATCCTTTAAGTCCCCATGAGGAACCTGACGAGCCTCGGGGCTCCTGGGACACTGATGTAGAGTTTTTAGCAAAGTGGGCACCTTTCTCGTCCACAGCATTTCAATAGAGGGAGGAGAACCACCCCGGAAACTCCAGGCTATGCATGTTTAAAGAACTGGTCCCCTTTTTGACAATGAAAGCCAATCCACACCCTGAGTTAAGAGCTCTGATGTCTGCAGAACTGCCTGGAGGAGGGGACTGTGTAAATTTAAAATCCGCGTCATTTCTTTCCTGCTGTCCCTCCCAAAATGTTCTATTTCTGCTTCATATTTTAAAAAATCAAAAAAAAAAAATCAAACAGACAGCTGAACTGAGCGAAGATACGTATGACCTTCTTGGAATGAATATGGCCTTTAGATACCCTTTGGTCAGCTGAGTTGTCCGGTGTAACCGAGGTTCGGTTTAATGGCGTTGATGTCTAGTCTGTGTGCCTTCCGTTTCCTTTTCTCTTTCTCCCTGACCCTCCCTCTCAGCCCTCCCATTAGAGTAGGACAGAGGTAAGGCTGGACTTGTCTGTGAGACTGAACTCCAAGAATGTATAGGGAGATATTCCCCGTGGTTTATCCTCATGGCGATAACAAAAACAAGGCCGGTTGTCTGTGTTCTCTTATCACTATTCCTAACATTTGTACATGATAGCTTTGATTCTGCAAGTTAAAGTAAATCATGTGTTGTGACTGGTGCTTTCATATATTTGTGACAATTTTTGAGTAATATTGCATGAAAATGTCCGTGTTAACATCCATTCAGAAGTTTTGTTGTTTTTCTCTAACGTTTGGAAAAGGAATGAGCGAGAAAAGAAGCTGGGAAGGAAAAAAACTCAGTATCTTGAAAATTGAGATTACTTTAGCACCTTAGCCATGCCTAAAACACCTCCTAGTTTTCCCCTCAGTGTAAACGCCTCTCCAACACAATTTCCAGAATCCAAAGCATTTGGGTTTTATCTGGGATCCAAGGCGTCCCAGAGAAAACCCAAAGCAGGAGGTAAGAATCCAACATGGTTGGGAGGTGCGTTTGCCATAGAGTAAGAGTAAATTCCTTCTTTCCCTGAATCTCAGAAATTCTAGATTAAAAGAACTCCTTCTGTGCTCTTAAGAAAAACCTGCCCCCCTCTTTTTTTCAAGTATCAGGAGAAATGAACCCATGGCACCAGAGAAAACCCATTCTCAGGATCCCTGCTGTTCGCCCTCCTGGGAGAAGGGGCAGGTGTGGCCTCAGCAGCCACCTCCACCAGTGAGGGCCTGGCTTCTTTTTCCACTGAGATGGTCTTTGGGTGCCACTCGCCTATTTTTTTTTTCCACTAGAATCTTTTCTTTGTTTTTGTTCTCCATCTTGTTTGTTAGAGTCTCTCAGTCTTGATTTACAACTTCCTTGCAGCTAGAGCCCTCTCGTCCCAAGAGGTGGCGTTGAACATGACTTTTCATGGCAGCTCTGGCCTCCATCGGTAATGGGAGGCCCTGGAAGCCTTTATCACTTTTTTTCTGTGCCATCTCCAGACTAAAGAGAGCCTCTCTTACATCTTCTTGCTTGCTTCAGAATCCCAAAAGACCATTTCCAAATTAACTGTATTCTGCTCTCTTCCCTTACCCCCATTAAAAAACAAAGAAGGGTGGAGAGGAAGGAAAAGAGAAGATAAAAAGACTTACTACGCCAAGGACAGATTTTGAAACAGACTTGGTAAATATTTCCCTTAGTTTCTTTTTATGGACACGCTGGTAAAAGCATAAATGCATCCAATTAAAGCTCACACCTGCGGTGGGCAAAGAGAAAACAGAAGTATTTGTGAAAGGAATGAATGCACTTCTGTAACCAGATCCTTCTGTTCTGTTCAAGCTTTGGGATTTTGTTACGGTCAGTAGGACACAGATGAAGATTTAGAGGAGAAAAACCCTGGCGGAGTATGTATTCAACTCCATTGTTGTACCATTAGCTGAGTAATACTGTGGAATCAGCGAAAACCATATCCATTTGTAATATGAATCAAAATATGAACTGAATATGTAGTCACATAAAAACAAGTGTGAATAAGCACTCTTTGCTGGTGATGGCATCCTTATGAGACCCTGATGGTTTTCATAATCCACACCATTTCTTTTTCTCAGAAGGACTATTGATATTTTCACGTAAGTCTAGATCTTTGGAGCAATGAACATGGAATGAAAACTCTAGGAAGCACCACAGCACAGCTCTGGGAATTCAAAGTAAAGGAAGTTCCAAACTTCATGTGACCTTGGTTCCGAAAGGAGAGAGAAGGCAGCAAATACACAGCCCATCTAAGTTTAAGGAAAGCGTGTTGGCTTTTTCATAATGGCACGTCCCACAGCATGGAATTATAATACCAGAGTTTTTATATGAGTTTTGGCTTATTGATAGTTTTACTTATTAAGGGGGGGAAAGCTTTTTTTTTATTACTTATGCCTCTGAAGAGCTTTAATTCTTTTAGAAATTCAACAATCATTTTCACCAGCATAATTTTATCTGAAGGGGAAACTTAGTTTAATTATTAAAGGTCCTAATTTCTGTGTCTAATGTATTTGATAGTAATGAAATCTGCCATAGAATTAGTTAGCCAGTAACAAAAACCCTCATATTTAGTTAAAAAAATTGCATCATTCTCAATATTAACTCCAGTTTCATTTCTTTCCATTTTAAACCAAATACTATTTTATTTAAATCAGAGGTTGTAAATAAGTACTTTGATCTGAGGCTAATTTGCTAACAATATTTGAAAGCGAGTGCTTACCAAGGAAAAATTTTAAACCATTTCTTCATACACTCATTCACAAATAGAATTTTGAGAAATCAGCATGCTGTCTTAAGGAATATTTGTACTCTCTCTCTTTTAAAAAATATTTGCTTCTAGCTGCTCCTGGCAATGGTGAATTGTTACATTGTGAATATACATCAATGTTTTCCCAGCCTAAAAATTGTTCACTTTTCCTACATAAGATCCATGGAGTGTGTCTTTCAATGAGAGGGAAATACAGAAATGTTAAAGCAGGGAAACCTGAATGCGATGTGTACATTTTCATCCAACATGGACCATTTATTTGTTTTAATAAATGGAATTTTCAGACTCAATTCATATGCAGTCAATTTTATTACAAAGTCCTGTGAACCACCTCGCCCATCGGTTGATTTGAGAAGGATAATGACACATAAAGTGAATGTGGAAATGAGAATTCATTGATTTTCTTTAGGGTTTTGTTAGGAGAGGTGCCCTAAGGAACAAAAACACACATGAGGCTCTTCACAAGCCTTTCTCCCTGTACATCTCAGGTACAGGGCCTGGGCGCAGAGGAAGGGGATGGGGATGCATCACGGCTCTGATAGGCTAGACCCGTGGTTGGCAAACCGTGGCTCACGAGCCACATGCGGTTCTTTGGCCCCTTCAGTGTGGCTCTTCCACAAAATACCACATGCGGGCGCACACGTACAGTGTGATTG